CTCGTTCGGCCAAAGCATCCATTTTTTGTTTCAAAGCTAAAGCCTTGGCCTCTTTCTTTTTGACCTTTTCGAGTTTCTTGATTCTTCTAACCTTGGCCTCTTGAGCCTTTTCCTCTCTCATGCGGACAATCACATCTTGGAGTTGCTCGATGGTTGACATTGTTGGACAAGGAGAGTGTGCCTGTCGTTGGGGATCCTTCTCCTCTATGCCCATGGCCCTTTAAAAGCCTAGAACTTTAAACTGTTTTAAGGCGTGTTAGGATTTGAATTCCTGACTGTTTGAGGGACCTTGAATTAGAGTTGATCCTATCATGATGTTTTTTTGTAAGAAACTAGTAAGGAGTCGCCAATGAGTTTTAGAAAAAACCCATAAACCTCGTTCATCCCTTTCTCCCAAGTAGAGTTTAAGGGATATTTAGCATGAATCATAAGTTTACCCATGTCCAAATTGGTCTACTTGTACCAGAAATGAGTTCGGGAGCAAAGGTACTTAAATAACGTTCCTTTTAGGGAGGAATCACTATTCTAGCCCAAGTGCGACCTCTACTAACTCTTCCTTTTTCACAATTTTATTACCAAACAATATATGCAACGTGATACATATGACTATGTTAGTTGATTTTATTTACAACCATTAGTCACGTAGGAATTACATCGCAAAAGTCGTTATTCTTATTTATTCAAATTCGTGAAAGAACAAAAAGTAAACAAGATTCGTCTTGACTTAGGTGATAAAAGAGTCAATTAATTTGTCCAATTCTAGTCTTGTTTAACGAAATAATACTATGTCAAATTAATTAATTAAAGTTTATTTTAAAGTGATCAAACAACATTAATTAATCGATTAAAAGTTGTTTAAACAAGAAAAGAAAAGGTGGTTTATCTAAGTGCTCAGGATTTTACCACTTTTCCTTGCTAGATCTTCGCTTAGAACACTTATGGACTCCTTCCTGATCGGGAACCTCCACCGTAAGAACAAACGATTAAAAGGGTGAGTGTTTAGGACAAGGGGAAATGATTAGTGCATAAGATCACAAGGTTTCTGCTGACTTTCGGGTTAATTTCTGTGTGTTCAAAGCTTCGTATTGTATCCCTATTTATAGGGAATGGATGAATTTAGGGTTTTAAACATTCTACTGCAGCAAATGGCACGCGCATCTCAAAAGGTGGCGCGTGGCTGCTTCGCACAAGTGGTTGAGTTGTGCTGCTGAGGGCAGCACAGCCAATTGTCTTGCGCCTGGCTTTATGGTAAGATTCGATTCAGCATTTTTATAAAATTCTGAATCCTCTGCGGGCGCACCACTGGAGGTTGCGCTGGACGTCACGTGCAACCTTGTGGGTTGCGACACTAGGACAGCGCGACTCCTTAATTTGCGCGCGGTTTTTCCTACGACAGCGACCTCGGATTTTAACCTAGGCGCCTCTAAATTCGTCAAAATTAGGTTTAATCTTTGGGATTAGGCCTAATTACTGATCGGGGTTAGTTTTAGTTAGCTTTGGTTCATTTCGTATTGGGTCAAGCTTGTTGTTTTATGTGTTTAAGCCTTTATCAGCAATCCAGAAGTATTCTTCGCGTTGATCCAACACAAAGATGGTTTTATTTATCGTCATAGCACTTCCGGTCGGGACAGGGGACCAAAAGTAGATGTCTACAATATGTTAAGTACTTAAGTTTCATATCTTTAATTTTATAAGTTTGATACTTCATTTCTTATTGTAGGCACCAGCACTGTCAAAAACCGAACCGAACCGGTGAAACCGAACTGTTTCAACCGATCCGAATGAGAACCGAACCGATTAAAAACCGACTCGAACCGCATGTTAGTAAAACCGAAACCAAACCGATCCGAGTAAACGTTAAACCGTTTAAGAACCGAACCAAATCTAAACCGAACTGAAAGGAAACCGAACCGAAAATGAACCAAACCGTTTCTAACCCGAAACCGTTTGAACTGACATAAAAACCGTTTACACCGAACCGTTTACAAACCGCAACCCGTTTGCACCGAACTGTTTATAAAGCGAACTGTTTATGAACCGAACCGCTTATAAATCGAACCGTTTACAAACCGCTTATAAATTAATTACATTTCTCGAATCCCGATAAAACGATAATATCAGCTTTTATATTTTTTTTTTAACACACACATTAACTTATTAAGTTATTTAAATTATAAAATGTGAATCGGTTAGCGTGTAAATGTCTAGCGTTGCGATTAATAAATAATCGAATACTGTATAATAACATAATGACGTCATACATTAGAGAGTTAGAAGTACTACGGATTTGTTATATAATTATATTTATATCAGTTTAGCTATGTCTGTAAGCAATACGCTTGTAATCGTGTAAATTTATAAATGATAGAATGGACTAGTAGATTAGTACATAAATACAAATTACTTAATTAGATATGACTACATGAGTGATTGACTAATATGACTATATGAGCAATTGTCAATTTAGCATAGTTGCATAACAGATTAATTAACAGTGTACTAGACCATCCTACTCGGTAATATACTAATAGCATTTCAGTATTTGATCTATTAGACTCAAGTTAAAAGTTACTCTTTCTTATTAATTTGTTAGTCTAATTAAGTAATTACTAATTACTAATTAATGACTTAAGCCTCAGGGGTAAACCAGTAAAAGATATACAAAAATATAATAATCTTATGATTCTCATCCCTTTATACTAATAAATATTTAACTATGAGAATATGAGATGGTTAGATGTTATGTATATGTATAATCGATTGAAAGAATCAATATTACCTTCTTATTCATTAATGTTTTCTTTCATTATACAAATCAAACTACTTTGTAATATTTTCATATATAACTTTATGCAAATATATAATGATAAACGAGTCTTGATTAACAGTCTTGTTAACTAATTAAGAACCGAACCCAATGACGAACCGAACCAGTTATAAACCGAACCAGTTATAAAACTGAACCAAAAAAGAACTGAACCGTTTCTAACCCGAAACTATTTGAACCGGGATAAAAACCGTTTACACCGAACCGTTAACAAACCGCAACCCGTCTGCACCAAATCGTTTACTACCCGGACCGTTTACAACCCGAACCGAATTTAAACCGGGATAAAACCGTTTACACCGAACTGTTAACAAACCGCAACCCGTCTGCACCGTATCGTTTACTACCCGAACCGTTTACAACCCAAACCGAGTTTAAACCATTCAAGAATAAACCGAAACCGAATCGAACCGATAATTATTTAAACCGAACTGAAACCGACCCGTAAGACATTTGAACCGATTTCAAACCGACCCGATTTCAAACCGAACCGAAACCGAACTGTCAAACCGTTTTGACAGTACTGGTAGGCACTAGTGTTTTTATGGAGGTTTGAAGTGGTATTGTGTGAGTGGGTACAGACTAATTTAACACATGCCTCGTTTCATTCAAATTGTGCCACAAAACAAGGAAAGGTTGTGAGACTCACATTAATGAGGTAACAATCATCACTCATCACCTTTGTTTCCCTAAAAAGGTTTGGTTAATCTTGTCTTTATAGAGTCACTATACTATTTGTTTCTTAGTCATGGATAGATGTTCTTAGTTGATTTCTTTTATGATCTGCACAGTGTGACCGATGCTTTTTTAGAAATATATAATGTGGTAATCTTGCAATGTGGATCCATGAGGTTGTAGATTGCATGTTGTTGATTAATAAATTTGTAAACCCCCCGTACATATACTTTATAGATTCTTCCACTTACTTTTGAGATTGTTTGGTTTACTTTTGAGTAATTTTTCTTTACTACGAATGTTTTATATAAACTAGCCTACTACCTTGCTTTACATGACTGATTTTCTATGTACAGTTGTACTATTAAATATATTAACAAGAATGATAACATTAACCTACTAGCTCAATTGGTAGAGCATTATACTGTGCAAATGTGCAAAGAATGTGGGTTCGAATCCCACGTAGTTGTATTATCTATTATTGTTTAATCAGCTATCTACTAAAAAAAGATAAGATTATTTACTTTTTACACTGTTTTGTTTACTTTTAATTAAAAAACCTTTACTTTAACCTAAACTCATATACTTTTGTCTAATCATTTTTAGAGCGATATAAAAGTAAATGACTATATTTCTATGCTTATTTATCAATTTTAACTATTTCATTATACATATGGACTTGAAGTTTCTTTACCTTCTTTTCCATTTACTTTTGGTATTTTTATATTTACTTTTAAGTTATTTTTCTTTACATTGATTTTTTTTAATATACACTAGCCTACTAGCTCAATAGGCAGAGAATTGTTCGATGCCCATGTAGATTTATTTATTAGATAAAATTATTTACTCTACTTTTAGATTTATTTTATTTAATTTTAGAATATTTTGATTTACTTTTTAGTATTTTATATCTACTTTAGAGTATATTAAAGGATGACTTCAAAGTATGATCTGAGATGGCATGTGTAACAAGTTTCTCTTTCTCTCTCTTTCTTACTATGAAATTCTGCATAATGGTACACTCTTCCTGCTACTACATACTGTTTTTAAATTCTGATTTTTTAAGCTAATTTGATTTACTTTATTGTTATTTTAATGTACTTTTGATAAATTTTGAGTTACTTTAGTGTGTATTATATATTTTTACAGATAATCTATGTAGGAATCAAACCTACATCTCTATGCATCCGCATAGTGCTCTACCATTTGAGCTAATAGATTTACTTTAAAGTCTTTTTTATTCACTTTAGACCCTTTGTAATCTGTGTATATATATGCTTAATAACCCATCAAGTTTGCAAGATACATTTAGTTGATCGATCAACTCCAACACAATTGTAGGCTTGCAGCTTCTCTCCATATTAGCCACGTCCCTTGCTTCCTGCCACACCCAAAAACTGCTAAGTAGTTTTGTAGATTCGGTAAGGACATATGTTTCCTGCTCTCACCAGTGAGTTCAGCATATAAAGTATCATTCAAGTCAGACTTTTCTACATGATTGTCACAAAGAAGAATGGTCGTCTTCCTTCCCAATAGCACTATAAGAATTAATTCCTATATTGAAGTCATGAGTATGACTCTTTTTGCTAAAAAATAAACAAGGCCTAGACAACCAATTACCTTTAAGTACATATAATCAAAGCATATTTGATCAATGGGAAATGAATCTTCATATCCCAAAATCAAACAATTGTCCTCTAAATTTAGCATTGACACTATTAAAGTCCTTGAAGATTTGATGCCCAAAAAACGAGATTGTAGGTACAATCTTACAACCTTACTCCTGCAGACCTTCAATTCAACTGATGAATTTCTGAAGCAACCCTTTTGATGAGTCACTTAAATTAACAGAAGACAAAAGCCTAACAAACAACGAAATAGTATCAGCATCAGCATTAAATCTTTTGCTAACCATAATGTCACGATAGTATAGTGCGTTTGACAAGCCATTATTGAGAATATATCCTTGGATGATCATATTATAGGTACAACCATGGGGGGGGGGGGGGGGGGGGGGCAACCATCTTCGTCCATTTTGCTAAATAATTGAGCAACTTCACTCATGAGCCCTTTCCTGCAGAAGCCTTTCCTGCAAGCCCTTTAACACAAGATTAGAGAAGATTTTTTGCTGGATCTTCAAGTTGTCCGGCCTCACACAAGCATGACATAGAAATTGAGGAAGAAATTAAGATATCATAATTTTAGTCTTTTAATTTACTTTAAAATATAATTGATTTACTTTTACTTAGTTTCTATCTACATTTGAAATTGATAAAATAATAGGATTCATTAGGGCATTTTGTCAAATAGTTAGTATTAGAGCTGGGCTTGGGCCGTGCTGGCCCGCAGGCGACACGGGCACGGCACGACATTGGCCCGGCCCAACACAAGCCCGTCAGCGGCATGGCACGATGACCGAACAGTGGGCCGCAGGCCGTGCCGCGAACAAAGTTTGGAAATTTCGGCACGAGCACGACACGAGCCCGCAGGCGACACGCCAATTCGGCCCGTGGCACGGTTAAAACGACCACTTTGCAACATTAATATGCGCCAACATACAGCTATAAAACGGCTAGTTTTTTTCATTTCTACCGGCTAGTTTATATTCCTAACGGCTGCTTAATCTAATTCCCTATCAATACATCACTTCATCATCCAATTTTTTCCACAATTCATTCATCAACTCATCTATTCTCTTATTATATGTGATTAGGGGATTTTTTCCCGCCACGTAGACCAATGAAACCCTGCCACGTGTCATCCACGTGGACCAACCAGAGGCCGCTACGTGTCACTTCGTGAAAGGTCCAAGGTGGACCAATCAAACCACGACACGTGGCAGGCAGATTGCCAGGGTAAATGGCCTTTAAGGGCCCAAATACCTAGGCAGCCCAGTCAGTCCTAGGTTTCAGAAAACCTAGTACGGGGCCCGCATTTCAAAGACCTAGTAAAAGGGAGATGTTCCCTCTGAGAAACATGATTCAGAAATCATTAAACACACGTGTACATTACTTGCTGAGCATTAACTCCAACTTAATTGCGCTACTTGAGAGCTAAGGCTCGGATTCCGAGACTGTCTCAGACAATCGGATGATCACTCAACTTTCGAGAGGAGCCTGATCCCCTTTACTTTTCGCATCTTTACTTCCGTAACACGTTCTAACTTGATTGTCGGAGGCGGAACTCCCATTCACAGGAGTCTCCGTTGTTTTGCATGTACAGGTCAGTCTTGGTGTTGTAACTCTCCCGGAGGACATCCAAAAAACCCCGAAACAATATGCATTGTTGCTCTTTGCTAAATAATAATGTATATTAATAAAAAAATTAAAAATAAATAAAAATTAATTATAATAATAAAAATAACATAAATAATAATAAAGAACTATAATAATAAAATAAGAATAATAAAAAGAACTATAGTAATTTAATAATAAAAAAACATAAACATAAATTAATAAAATTATTTAAATAATATATCGATTTAATAAATAAAAAATAAAATAAAAAATTATAGGATGTCCGGTGCCCGGCACGGCACGCCTGGGCCTTGTTGTGCCGTGGGCTGGGGTGTGCCAATTGGTGGCCCGACACGACACAGCCCGCCAAGATCCAGGCACAGCACGGCACGACTCACCACCAGGCACGGCCCGCGACGGCTCAACACGGCACGGCACGATGCCCAGCTCTAGTTAGGGTGCATTCACTTGATTTTGCTTAAATTTCGATGAAAGCACAAATCAGTGAAATACAAATACCAAAATTCGGGAATTGAATAACAGCGAATTCGCCAAAATTTCACATACTCCATGAAAGTACCACATACTCCAAAAATTCACTAAAAGTACCAAGCAATTGGAACAAATCCATATACTTCGTAGTTTCACTACTATCTACAATGAAACCTTGAAACCACCATCCAATAAAAAATGTCAATACTCATATCACGACACCAATGCAAGTTAATTTCCTTCAACCTTTAACAATTATATACCACACTTTACACTCGCGTTATTTTGAAGTAAATCCAACAAGTATACTACGTTGTTGCATTTTGTCAAACATTTGGTGAGCATCAAAATATCTATTATACTTATAGAGAAATATAGTTTACTTTTGCACAATTTTAATTTACTATAACACATTTTAATCTAATTGAATTGCAATTTGATTTAAAATTAAAGAAAACCAGAAATAGTAAAATTGAAATTAAATTCTGCTATTTTAAAAAAAGACAAAACATCTTACCTCAAAAGCTGCTTCAATGGAGTATCAAAAGCTCGTAAAAGGTCGAAATCCGCTTTAATGGAGAATACATATCATTAGCTTCAATAAAGCAAACCAAATTGTAAACGAAGTTGCAAATGAATGCTCCAAATTGATAGGATATATGATCCGATAATCGTAGAAAAAAAAAAATTAAACCCTAAAAAACGATTTATACCAAATTTACAATAATTACCTCTATAGTTGAGAAATTTTGCAATAAACTCAGCAAATTATTGAAGAAATGTGTATATTGTAGCAAAATTCTTCACTTTTGAGCTGATGATTAAGGTCAGAAAGCTTGAAAAACGCTCGAGGAGAGAGAAAATGTTGTCAGCGAGAAAGAGGAGAGAGAAACGCAGGTTTTTGTTTTTTTTGGCTAAATGTGTTTAATTTTCTGATTTAATACAAAATCAATCACAGCCGTCCACTTTGTTTTAATCTAACAGTTGAAATGAGTTCCTAGTTCTCATTATAACTTACTTCTATATATATATATATATATATATATATATATATATATATATATAGGGGAGGATCATGTGAGAACCAAGCCTTATATGAGAACCAAGTTAAAATGAGAACCAATCTTATGCCATTAAAAATTATGAAACTAACGGCTGAGATTAGACATATGCACATGTATACCCATTGTGCATTTATTGAGACAATGATCATTTTTCCCTCGAAAATTTAAAACTGCAATTTTAATGTCTAATCAAAACTGACGATTGGTTTGCTTCCCTTACACACCGATTATTCTTACAAATTTACATCATTTCAAAAACCAATTATCTTACTTCAATTGTGTTCGCGCCCATAACTTCCATTGGGAAAAAAACGGAAGTAACTGCTACATTGTTCTATAAAAACCCCAAAAACTACCCAAAAATACCCATTCTCGATTTTGTTAGCAAAATGAAAGAACAAACGCAGAAAAAGGACTACCGAAGCAAGGAGAGTTTCAAGAAATTTCAGTAAGTTTTTTATAATTCAGTAAATTATGATGAAAATAAGATAATGTAAACAGTTAGGGTTTTAAATTTTCAAAATGCTTGGTTTTTAACAGAGAAAGGTTGCGAACAGAGTTGGATGGAGTGGCGGGGGAAAACCCTACGGAGGAGGCCGGCGTTCCCGCTGCAGCCGAACAAGCGACGGAAAACGTACAACCACCAACGACGGAAGCTCAATTGACAAAGTAATGTTTCCAATTTTATTGCTAATGTCGCGCGAATTATACTTAGGGTTTCAAAAATTATATAGATTGTGTTTTGGCATTTCAAATTACTGCAACTAGGGAGGAGGCCGGCGTTCCCGCTGCAGCCGAACAAGCGACGGAAAACGTACAACCACCAACGGCGGAAGCTCAATTGACAAAGTAATGTTTCCAATTTTATTGTTAATGTCGCGCGAATTATACTTAGGGTTTCAAAAATTATATAGATTGTGTTTTGGCATTTTTCAAATTACTGCAACTAGGGATTTAAAATTAGTATCAAATTAAATTTGTTCCATAATTTTGTTATAGTGTTTCTGTATTTGGAATTATTGTAACGGAAAAATGAACCATTGTTTCTGAACGTTGTTATGTTTTGAATTATAAGAGTAATTTTGATTTGTTCCATAAGTTGTTGTTATTGTTTCAAAATTAAATAAACTAATGTCACAGTCAATTGTGTTGTTAAAATGTAGATTAATTGTAATTTAATGATGTTTCATAAAATATATAAAGTGTTATAATTGTTCAAATCAATGTTTCATTTATTATATTGCTTGTTTCATATAGTTTGGTCCTTTATGAACTAGATGTAGTAATATGGTTTCGTTTTGTTTGTAAGATGGTTCATATTTTCATATCAATGATTCATATATTATATTGCTTGTTTCATATAGTTGGGTTCTTTATGAACTAAATGTAGTGATATGCGTTCGTTTTGTTTGTTAGATGTCTCAATTGTTTCAGATTAATGTTTCATATATTATATTGCTTGTTTCATATAGTTGGGTTCCATATGAACTAGGTGTAGTGATATGTTATACATTATGTTTCAAAAAATCACACCATATGTTTCATTTATTTATGTATATGTTCCAAACAATTGTGTTGTCAACGTTCTGTTAAAATGTAGTTGAATTGTTTTTTAATGATGATTCATAAAATATGTAAATTGTTTCAGTTTTTCATATAAATGTTTCATATAATATATAAATTAATTCAGTTTTCCATTTTCCGGAATAATAACAATTCTGTTTCATTTTTTACTAATTATGTTCCATAAAATACATGTATTGTTTCATATACTAATTACATTGTTTCATGCATTAAATCTATTTTGTTTCATATTTTATATTAGGGTCGCTGATAAGGAAAAAGTGGTACCCGTGCCAAAAAAAAGGAAGCAAATGTACAGTCTGCGAAGGGGAAAAAAATCAGACATGTGCAAGAAGACAGTGATGAGGAGGAACAAGTGGCATTTAGACAACGTATTCCACCAGCCAAATTCATGAAACATGTTATTGTAGGACTTCCGGAAGCTCACAAGCAAGTTGTAAGGGATGTAGGCTTTGGGTCCTTCCTACTATTGGACCTGGATTCTAACAAAAACAGTTTTTGTCACGAGCTTGTGGCAAGGTTCAACCCCGACGGAGCCTCCCTTCAATTGCCAAATAGAGAGGAGATAGAAGTCCTCCCGGAAGACGTCCATGTTGTATTTGGTCTTCCAATTGGAGGGAGAGAAATTAAAGACAATAAGTGGATTGAAGAGGATGAAGAATCGCAGGTTTTCCTGCAAAAATGGAGAGATCAATTTGATGATGGAAGTCCAACCAATACCTCATTAATACAGCTGATTGAGACCCAAAAAGATGAAGATGTAACCAATGAATTCATCTGGAATTTCATTGTGGCTGCCATAAATTGTTGTGTACGATCTACATCTCGTTCAACATTAAATTTTAAATTTTTGTATTGCTGTGAGAATGTCTCACAAATTAAGACTTACGACTGGTGTACATACACATTTGAGAATCTGATAAACTCCGTAGCAGAATGGAAGGAAGGAGCTGCATACTTCACAGGACCTCTGCCATTCTTGATGGTAAATATATTGTTTCAGAATCTTAATAAACTGTTTCACTGAATAATTACAATGTTACGAAAATAATCCTTACTGTTACACTGTTAATTTGAGTACTTGCTTTAGTATTAGCTGTTTCATATTTTATGTAAGTTGTTTCATGTTAAATACATAATGTTTCAGTATTAGCAACACAATGTAAGTTGCTTATGTAACTTGTTCAGATACTGGAATTCAGATATTGTTTCAGAATCCTAATAAACTGTTTCACTGAATAACTACAATGTTACTAAAATAATCCTTACTGTTACACTGTTAATTTGAGTACTTGTTTTACTATTAGCTATTTCATATTTTATGTAAGTTGTTTCATAAAGTTGTGCAGATGCTGGAATTCAAATCTGGAATTCAGATATTGTTTCAGAATCTAAATAAACTGTTTCACTGAAGAATTACAATGTTACTAAAATAATCCTTACTGTTACACTGTTAATTTGAGTACTTGCTTTACTATTAGTTGTTTCATATTTTATGTAAGTTGTTTCATGTTAAATATATTATGTTTCTTATAATAAATATGTAGTTTCATAATAAACGTCTGTTGTTACATATTCATATTTAAAATCAACTGTTTCATATTTTTTATTTGTTGTTACATATGATAAACGAACTGGTAGTATTTGTACTTTGATATCTTCTGTCAAAGTACATAACTTGTTTAAAATATGGAAAAATGTTGGTTTAAAATATGAAACAGTTGGCATATAAAATGGAACATCATATATATACCTGATGTTTCATTGTTACTTATGTTGTTTCACATTATATGCCATTTGTTTCATTACATATTACTGTTGTTTCATATACCTGATGTTTCATTGTTACTTATGCTGTTTCACATTATATGTCATTTGTTTCATTACATATTACTGTTGTTTCATATAACTGTTGTTACATATTTAACAGATGGTGTTTCATTTTATTGTGAAACAGAACATACATTTGAAATCACATTTATTATAAAATGAAACACCGTCTGTTAAATATGTAACAACATATATTCAAAATATGTGATATCAAATGTATGTTCTGTTTCATTTTATATGCCTGTTGTTTCAAATTTCAACCAACAGTTTTTCATACTTGCTCAAACAGGTTATGTACTTTGATAGACTGAAGCGTGGTACAGCTCAACCACGAAGGACAATACCCCTAATAGCCGTTTGGAACAAGCAGATGATACAAGAACGAATGAAGGTGGAGAAGAAGAGAGGATTTGGACAAGGTAAAGTCCTCGACAGGTTAACTGCTATAAACACAAATTCTGGTGAAGAAAATCAAGGGCCTTTGTCGTCCTCTGCTCCTGAAGATGTTAAGGTAAAAAAAAAAAAAAAAAACAAAAAAACATGACAATTAATATACATGATGTTTCATTGTTTCATATTAAATATAATTTGTTTCATTACATATTATTGTTGGTTCAAAATAATGTATATGATTTAGATGTATGTTGATTCATTTTATATGCCTATCGTTTCATTTTATATACCTATTGCTTCATACATTTCGGGTGTTTAATGTTTTGTCTACGCTGTTTCATATAATAAATCTGATGTTTCATATTGGCCACATGCTATTGTTGGTTTGTTATAGGGATTTATACTTGATGAATTCAACAACATTTCCAAGGAACTTGCTGGCCATGTCCAGTCAATGTATGCACTAATTGACAAGGCATACAAATTGATTGAGGAGGTGGAGATCCCAGATGAGATGAAGGAGCTCATAAGAAATGTAGGGGGCAAGTACACATCAGTACAGCCCACTATGAGTTCCCAAGGAATCAAGACCCCGGGTTTTCTATCTCAAGATGAGAACTTATTTCATGAGCCAGCGTTTTTATCCGAGCTCAGTGATGTGATGAACAAAGCATGGGCAAATTTTCAGGCCCCACAAGATGAACAACAAGATGAACCCCCCCTGAGAATGTTGTACCCCCACAAGCTACACCCCACAATGATTTCGTTCATGACATTGTTCCATTATCTGAATTCCAGCCAAACTATAATTTATTTGTAGGTTCACAGGCGTTGCCTCCAACACCCCCAGCAAAAGGAAAGTCACCAGAGCAGGAAGAATCTCCAACGGAGCAGCACTTGGAGTCACTCACTGAATCCATCGTTCATAAGATAACAATGCAACATTCTGAGGAGCCAGTGACTGGTTTGCAAAGAGAAAAAAGAATCACACAAAATCTTCCTGTGCACCTTCGATTCCCATTCATGGTGCAGAATGAAAAAATTTCAGCAAAAATTGATGCCCTACAAAGAACAGCCGTCGAATATGCCTTTTGTGCAGGCCCAAAATCGTGAGAATTTCCTGGAATGCTTTGTCTCATATTATATACATATTGTTTCATAGTATATACAATATTATATTGTTTCATATTATATACATATTGTTTCATTAAATTGTTTTCCTGTCCCATCAATTTCAGTGAGCAGCTGTACAATGACGGGATTAACTTCATCAGTAGGGAAGACATTTTAGGACTACAAGGTGACAACTATGTGGTCAACAATATAATAGACTCCTGGGGCCACATCCTTAACATGGCAAACAAAAGAAGGCAACCAGGCGCTATCAACCGTTTTTTCTGCTCCTCTGAATGTTGGGTAATTATGTCTAAAATTATTTTACAGTTTCACTTTTAAGTTCTAATGTTTCATTTATCATATAATTTGTTTCATTAACATATTGTTCCATTTTTCATTACTTTTGTTTCATATTAAATAAAATATATTTCATTGTACATACAATATGTTTCATTGTATACATTGCCAATGTTTCACTATATAGTGTCAATGTTTCATACATCTGATGTTTCATTTTTCATTTACGCTGTTTCATATTATATATCAATTATTTCATTGTATACAGTGCCAATGTTTGACTATATAGTGCCAATGTTTCATACATTTGATGTTTCATTTTTCATTTATGTTGTTTCATATTATATATCAATTGTTTCTTTGTATATAGTGCAAATGTTTCACTATATAGTGCCAATGTTCCACTATATAGTGCCAATGTTTCATTTTTAATATATTATGCTCCGTATAAAATACTTCAGTTTTATAGTATTGATACATTATAATATTCATGATACACTAACAACTACAACAATGATTAATTACCTGGAAAAAAACAGAATATGTTGTGCAATAACAAGTACTTTACGCCAATTACCAAGTTTGCAGAGAGATACAACGCTTTCAAGAGCAGGATGGTGGACGAGATGAATCATTCTAAAATAACTTCTTTTGACAAAGTAGATTTAATTAGATACTAAACTAGTACTGATTCTTAGCATATATATTTGCTTAAAAAGACATACTTAATGTTACATATAACTTACTTATTGTTTCATTATAGGTTTTCTTTCTCGTCCCAGCATTTGAACACTATTATCTGTTCTGTTTCAATTTTTCACGCAAGCAACTGCAAATTATAGACAACAGATTTCTAGAAGAAGGTGTTGAAATGGATGCAAAGTACGGCAATTTCCCAACTACCATGGTAAAAATATGACACTGTTTCACTAAACATCACTGGTATTCCATTTTTTATTTTTTGATGTTTCAATTAGTAGATCTGGTGTTTCATTGTTGATTTCTGGTGTTTCTGATTATATAGATTTTGTTTCAATATATATATATGGTTTCAAATAATACATTTGATGTTCCATTTTTTCATTACTGCTGATTCATATTAAATTAAATAGGTTTCATTGTACATATAATATGTTATTTCATATTCATACATCTGATGTTTCATTTTTCATTTACGCTGTTTCATATTATATATCAATTGTTTCATTGTATATATTTGTTGTGCCATTGTTCCTTGGTACATCTAATTGTTTCATATTACACAGATCAAGGCATTTGCTAAATTTCTAAATGAAAAGAAAGTTGGGAATGGACGGGGAGTGTCTAGATTCAATACCACTATGAAGGAAATGAGATGGAAGAATAATGAGAATTATGATGACTGCGGTGTATACGCTCTCAAACACATGGAAACTTACATGGGGCAGCTAGATGAATGTTGGGATATTGGATTCGACCCAAAAGATGTGAGTTTTTGTGTAATTCTTATATTAATTTATACATAATTTATGGTTCATTGTTTCGGTATTTATTTTGAATTGTTAATATATTTCAGCCTGATATAATGAAGAAGCTGAGGATTGAATATTGTGGGAAAATATTGACAAGCCCTGCAAACGTACTACAAGATGAAGTTATAGCCAAATCAAAGACCTGGGCATTAGAGCAGCTTCGTCATGTTAATCAGTAAACAATGTTTATAATGTTTCCACATTAGTTGTAAGATACATAATTTTTATGCATTGCCTGGATAATTTAGCTAAACATCTTTTTATGTTTCGTATGTAAAGATGTGCATATATTATTGTCAATTGTGAACTATTAATATGACACATTAGAAGTATTAAATGAAACTTTAAATATATAAAATGAAACAACAGCCAGGTAATATGAAACAATGTGATTATAGGTTTAGCTAAACATGTTCTGGATTATTTTCCCATAATTAGAATTAATAAATGAAACTATAAATAGATAAAATGAAACAACGGTAACGTAATATGAAACAATGTGAAACAACATGCATTGTCAACGGTAAGAAATAAATTTAAACCATGCACTGTCACAACTGAACACGATTCCACATGAAACTGACAAGTGTAAGGTTGCTTTTAAACTTTACAATAAATATGTTCCCAAAGCAACAATACCACACCAGTACTTTTAAAAAAAAGATGACTAGTCAAATCAATACACGCTGCCACGACTAGTTAAATCAATACACGCTGCCACATAAAATCAATTTGCACACTTTGTGAAAAATATTATATACTCCGTAACTTTTTTATATAAAACATGCTTACAAAACATGCTAAAACGAATCTTAATGTTTCAGGGAATGTTCCTACTGTTCCCATAAATGAAACAATTGTTACATATATTAGAACTAGTGTTTCTTAAAACTGATGTTTCTCAAAACTGATGTAACATATATTAAAACTTATGCTTCTCAAATGTAACTAATTGTTCCATTACAACAAACATAAAAATGAGTAAAACATTCCCATAAGAAGGAACAACAGCTGCACAAATCATCATGCTTTGTGAGGACAATTCCGAATATCATGATATGCTAGCTCGCCACAGCCACTACATTTCCTCTTCGTTTTCTTTTTAGATTGTTCAACCGCTATTTCTTTGGCACCCTTTAATCTTTTAGACCCACTAGTTCCAGAGCCATCGTGAACACCTGTACCTTTATTCTTCGACACTTTAGGAGGCTGAACAAGTATTTCATCAGGAATGCTACATCCTATTAACATCTCAATATCATGTTCACTAGATCTTACATTCTGAGTATCTTCCAAAGTAACATTTTTTGTCGCTTCAATTTTATTCTTGAACTCTCGAATATTCTTAATAAAGTCCTCCTCATGACCTTTAACCCAACCCACACAAGAAAATATCTCCGACCCACATTTCATTTATAACCACCCGCCTATCATCTTCGGTGTCTAAACAACTTATATCTAACACTGGTTTCTGAGTAGCATTTATTGTCCAACGATCTAAGATATATTGCTTTGGAATGCTTTTTAAATTCTTTGCCTTCCACATCCATATCATATGTCTGCATGGGATTCCTATCCTATAAAACTTCTTACAAGAGCAGGTAGTGTCATGACTAAAGCACTCAAACAAAACTTTAAATTTCCTTCTCCTATTTGCCTCAGTAACAATTGCTACATCAATACCATCTTCCTTCCTCAATTCATCTACACCACAACAATAAAAAGCACTATGAACTTCATCTTGAAATTCATAAAATACAGAAACGGTGTACACCTCAGAACCATGCCTCTCAATCAACAATTATGTCTTACATTGAGGGAATTTCTCCTGTGATTCATTGTCATTCTCTGCCTGACAATGTCTCTGTGCATCCAACGCAGTTTCATACCTCATGAAAAACTCCACAAGAGACACGTGAGGATTTACAACGGATGTAAAAAAATTATTCTCACTCTCTGACCTTGAGGTAGTTCTCATAATACCACCCATAAAGACATCTCTAAAATACGCTGGAATCCACATAGCTCTCATCTCAAACATCAAATTCAACCAATCATGATATTGTAATTTAAACTCAACAAGAACATTGTTCCACTTCTCTTCAAATTCAGGTGCCTCAATTTCTAAATTCCAAACACACTTACTGAGTTCCTTCAAAAATTCAGTATCCTGAATGATATTCCTTCCAACTTTATCAGGCAGCTTTTTCATTATGTGCCACATACAAAATCTGAAGGACATTAATTATGGGACATTAGACCACTATTTTGAAACATTATCTTTTAAAACTGTAACATTATAGTAAAATTCCGGAACATCATCTTGAAGATTTGAAATAATAAAATAAATAATTGGAATAACTAGGCGAATTCTCGTAACAATTGATTAACCTAATGGAACGTCAGAACATAAATTTGAAACAATAAAACACTATATAGGAACAATGCTTTTTAAAAAAAAAAATCAGAATAATAATATTTAACATCATCACAACAGCTGGAAACATCAATCAACTAATATGAAACATCAGACACGGATTTTGAAACAATAGTATTCACAAATGAATCAATGACATTAATTATGGGACATTAGACCACTATTTAGGAACATTAGCTTTTAATACTGTATCATTGTAGTAAAATTCCGGAACATTATCTTGAAGATTTGAAATAATAAAAAAAATAATTGGAATAATTAGGCAAATTCTCGTAACAATTGATTAACCTAATGGAACATCAGAACATAAATTTGAAACAATAAAACACTATTTAGGAACAAGAATTTTTTTTTTTTAACAATAATATTTAACATCATTAATTTGAAACAATAATATGAAACAATAGTATTCACAAATGAATCATTCTAGTTGCAGTACAATAAAATAAATACTAATCTGAACCAATAAATTTGAAATAATAATATTTAACATCATAACAACAGCTGGAAACATGAATAAACTAATATGAAACATCAGACACATATTTTGAAACAATAGTATTCACAAATGAATCATTCTAGTTGCAGTACAATAAAATAAATACTTGTGCTCACATTGTTGGAAAACAGAATTTACAGCAATTTTCATAGCTGGATCTTGATCCGTAATTAAACAATTGGGCTCCCTACCACCCATTGCCTTAACAAATGTTCTAAATAGCCATTCGAAAGAAGCAACATCTTCCTTTGCAATAAAACCAGCAGCAAAAGTGACACATTTCTTGTGGTGATCGACTCCCGTGAATGGACCAAATACCATATTATATCTGGAAAACATGAAACATACGCTGAAATTACGATTCCATATTTATGTCTACTGTTTCGTAATATTATTCCAATGTTCCGAAAATTAAAACAAATGTTACATCAAATTGTAAAACCCAAAAAAAAAATTCAAAAAACTTTAAAAATAACACTATGATACCTGTTGCTTTGGTAGGTTGTATCAAACGAGAGCATATCACCAAATACGGCATAATTTCTCCGGCAAATAGGATCTGCCCATAAAGCTCTACATAGACAGTCGTCTTCATCCATTCGTAATCAAAAAAATAAGCCGACCACATCAACTTTTTCCTCTTAAAATTATCAACAAACATCTGGGCGTCCGATCCTTCAATATACGCCTTCAAATCTCTATGAAAATTTTTGAAGTCATTCCTACTAGCGCCTATATTCTCATACCCACCAACATATTTCTTCACCATTCTGTATGTCTTGACAGGACCAATATTCACCTGTGGAGACAGAATGTAAAAAGACTAGACTGTTTGAGGACCATGATATATATGGAAACAGATCTAACAGTGCATATTTAATTTTATGAAAAAAAGGCAAAAAAGATTTCAAAGATTCTAAATATAGATGTGAACAAAAAACAATAAGGCACACATTTAATAACAAATAACGGTACACGTTATTCTTGATGGATAGTGCGAAATTCGATGATGACATATTATATTGAAACAAAAATGCACTTTATTGTTCCATATATCTGACCACCTGTTCCAAAAATGCACTTTATTGTTCCATATATCTGACCTACTGTTCCTACGCATTACCCTATCGTTACATTTGTTATAATAACGAAATAATTTTAAACCTTTACAACCAATCGCTCCAACTATGTTTCAATTATACGTAATATTGTTCCATTTATCAAAACCATTGTTCCATACAGTTGTACTTACACCTACTTGAGTATATACATTACAAACAATTGTTCCATCCAAAACAATATATATTTCATATTACAGTACTAATGTTTCATATATGTACACAATTGTTACTTCACATTTAAAATTTAATCATTTTAAACAAAACCATATTCAAATACGATTGTTCCATCCAAAACAATATATATTTCATATTACAGTACCAATGTTTCATATATGTACACAATTGTTACTTCACATTTAAAATTTAATCATTTTAAACAGTTGTTCCATCAAAAACAATATATATTTCATATTACAGTACTAATGTTTCATATATGTACACAATTGTTACTTCACATTTAAAATTTAATCATTTAAACAAAAACCATATTCAAATACGATTGTTCCATCCAAAACAATATATATTTCATATTACAGTACCAATGTTTCATATATGTACACAATTGTTACTTCACATTTAAAATTTAATCATTTTAAACAAAACCATATTCAAATACCTTTGAATTATCAATTATCATTTTCTTATGAAACATTGTCAGCTTTCTTTTGGACTTCTGAAAATGAGAGTTCTCGGATGAATACAAATGATGAGTATGCCCTTTTTCAAAATTAGAAACAATGTAACCTCCATCTTCGCAATACTTTAAAATCATCTTTGCCTTACAACCAACTCGAGTAGACAATCTTCTTTTAACCATAGGAGTATTCGCTTCTTGACAATCATAGTCTTCTTTATCTTGACCAACAACCACTTCTTCAACATTCATATCATCTACAAAATTATCATCTTCTTCCCCGATACTATCAACTTTCTCTGTCACCACATTATTTCGTTTTTCTTTAAACTCAGCTTTATTACATACAATAATTTGAAAAGAAATAATACCATTTTTTCTTTTTTTGACCGTCGACTTTCTAGTAATAAATCCTACAACAGCTGCGTAGGACTCATAAAAACGCAAACCTTCATCAAGTTTTGAAAATTTCATACCTATAGTTGGTCTAATTTCACTATCACAACATGGAATCCATATCTTCGTTCCACCAGGGGTAAAAGCATGAAGAACATTAGACGTACCAAATTCAACAGACAAATCCATGCTTAATATAACTACAGAAAAAAATTGAGCTCTAACCTTTAATAATGTATTCCAATGGCTGAGATAACGTCTTCCAATGACTGACCCATAATGTATTCCAATGGAATACAACGTCTTCCAATGCACAAAAATAAAAAAAAATAAAAAAATTACAAATAATCATTACCTTTTCAAGCTGGCCCACGTGAATTCCCACTATAGTTACTAATAAATCTGAACCATTCATCTAATAACAATGAATGGTCTTAGATTGGTTCTCATTTTATATTGGTTCTCACCTAAGCCATGGGTTCTCACATGATCCCATATATATATATATATATATATATATATATATATATATATATATATATATATATATATATATATATATATATATATTCGGGTTAAATTCAATTTGATTTATACTTGATTTCATAACATCAAACTTTTAAATTTTCTTTATTTTTTTAAATATTTTTATTATTTTGACTTATGCACATTTAGAAACTCATTTTGACATAATTTATTTACTATTATAAAATAAAAAAATGTTATCATGTAATATATCATCAGATTAGTTACAACTTATTACAAGGTCTATTCTCATAATTTTATTTTTTTATTTTTTTATTATTAATTTTTTTTTTTATTACAGTTCTACTACTCTCTTCTTTTGTTTTAATATTTACATCAATTTGACTTATGCACAGTTCATATGCTCTCTTTGACATAATTTTTTTTTACTATTATAAATTGAATAAATGTTGTTATGTAATACATCATTGGATTAGTTACACTACGGTCAAAGTTATGTTTCAGCAAATTTGCTGGTGAAAGTGATGAAAATATTAAAAAATAAAGGTAGTAATAGACAATTAAAGAATTTAAAGCTATTAATGGTCAAATTACGTATCGACAAATGTGTTTGTCAAAGTGATGCAAATATTAAAATAAACGTATGGAGCAATTTTTACTTATTAATAATAAATGATACAAGTAATTGAAATAATACATTAATAAGTGTGAAATGAACAGTGTTAAAAATAAAACAATGAAAATATATATTGAGAAATACTTAAGATTATTATATAAAAAAAATTAAAAATAAAATATTATATGAACAGAAGGTGAAAAAATAATCTGGAATCCTATAAAATTGTTATGTGTTTGGCAGGGAAAAATTAAATCATAACAGGAATAACATAGGCACTTTAAGGCTATAAGCACGGGTTGCATATGTTAATTTCAAAAATCTCGCTCGAAATTCGTAGGAAGTAACATGTGTCATTCATGGTATTTGTTTTAATTTAACATATAAACACTAGCCCTATAAAGCTATAAGCACAGGTTGCATGTGTTAATTTGAAAAATTCAATAGTTCACCTTAATCGACACATAAGAGTATATAATATTGCAAAAATTGTTCATGTATTATCAGATGCACTACCCAACGACCCAAACCCAAACCTTGAAGCTAGTGTTTATCTATCATAATAAAAGCTAGTGATCAAAATCAGCTTCAAGTTAATGGAGGGTAAAAGAGATTACAGTAATACCGTTTTCGTTTTGCTAAGGAGGGTGTACAAAATGAGGAGGATTTATGCAGAAATAATGTTCGTCCCAGTACGTACACGTTGCTCATTTTTAAGAGTCTAGATAAACATCTTTCCTGTTACAAGTTTTGGCATAATTTCCATTTTAAAGTGAGACTATGATCCTTTGTTCAATTCAAGAGTCAAGATACCATATTCTTCTATTAAAAATACATACACTTGATTAATACTTCGTATATTCTGAATTTATTCAACCATATACGTGTTTTGATTATATCTTATGTTTCAACTGATAGGTTTAATTTTATATTTAGTCAAAGTTTATATTTTTAAAGCTAATCATCTTTGATAGAGTATATAAACTAATTATGAGCTTCAATCATCAGGTTAGGTTTTTAATTTGGTTGAGATGCTCCTCTAATATGGTATCGGAGTCAACATGAGTAACATGATGATATGTCTATTTTATATAGTGATTTACCCCTGTCCCTTGGTCATAATTAGGAGAATTTTTGGCTCTACGGAGCTATTTTTGTTACTAATATGCGCTTTCTAGTGTTTTCGTAGCATTGGTATTGTTTTATAGGAAATTGCGGATTATGAGGCATTTCCCGGGATTATTTAGCCACTACGAGCATTGGATGTGAAGCACACTCATATGGCCGTTTTTCGAAGCCCGGGATCGTGTTAGAGTAATCGTGCCCAATGATTAAGGGTTCGGCAAAGAAGAAAAGACCGAGGCAATGGACCAGAGTTATAAAGGTTCGAGGAAGAAGTTCGAATTTGAGCCAGGCTAGGAGCCCAAATCGAGAAGTTCGAATTATGTGTGATTAGTTTAATTTTTACGGTTCTTGGGGATCCGTTAATATTGTGAAGGGATGATTTATTATTGTTGATTGTTAATGTTTTAGATTAATTTCCTATTGATTGATTTACTGCTATGCAATTAGATTTGGCCAGGTTTAATTGTATGGGTTATGCAACATTGATTCGAAATTCGATAAATGAGAATTGATGTTAAGGCTTAATTTCAATAGGCAGATTAATTTATAGATGGTTAAGTCAAGATTCGAGAGATGTGATTTAATACCGCTAGGTTAATTCTGTGATTATAATACATAGCGAAAGTCCTTTATAATCTGATTAATTTATGCATTGATAGTTAATTGTTGTCTTTCTTCCCGGAATATTATTTATCGGTGAATTTATGTCCTAGGCTTTTATATTATTGATATTCTCTTAGGTTTGTTTGCTATTATTTCTCTTAGATTAATTCATACAAAATCATACTTATTACTTGTTAGTTTAGACTATAATAGTTATTTAGAAGTAAAAGAACATTGTTTCTCAGTACATGACCCTACTTCCCTATCTGCTTTAGTTAGAGGATTTAGGTAATTCTTTTGATTAGGTGATACGACTATAACTTGTCACATGACACAAAGGTCACGAGTTCGAATCTCAACAATTAATAAATCTCGAGCTCGGCTTCAAAATTATCCAGTCCACTAATGCAGTACTTATGATCTTGTAAACAACCTATCTTTAAGTGAAACAACAATTTACAACACTACTTATGTGAGGTAAGTACACATATACGAAATATACCTTAGCATAAAATGAAGTCTGGCGCAGTTGAATATTCTATCGAGGTTGCACAATCATAACCTATTCTAACCCTTTTTATGGGTAATGACATATGTGGCATTTAGGATTTTTTTTAAGGACTTTATATCTTTTGCAAATTGATATCAATTTTAAATTGCATGATACAATCCCGTGAATATTATTATTCACTTGATATCTTTATTTTTGGCTTTCTAAATACAACCCTAAGACGAGTTTGAAATTGAGGTACAAAATTCTTTAAAAAAAAAAAAAAATTTAGGTTCATTTGGTATTGCTGTGGTTTTCTTTTTTTGGTTTTTTGTTTTTCAAAATCATATGGTATATATCATGTAATGAATCAAAAATTAGTCAAATTTATTAAAATCATGATAATTTTGAAAACTGACAACTAAAAAGTGGAAGCACCCTTTTCTTGTTTCCTGTTTTTCGTTTTTTGTTAAAAAAAAAAAAAAAAAAAAAAAAAAAACGATGTCAAACAAGCCCTTAACATACGATTTCATAACTCCAATAGAATTTCCAATCGTTGTATGTAGTTCATGTTGAAGTTTGTACTAATCCCTCATAAGTCATAAGTGGTCTAATGTGTTGAGTCATCACCTAAGCACACCTAACCAATAATTGATGCTGCTCTGGCCATTTATTTGCCTATACTCCCTCCGTCCCATAATACTTGGGACGTTGAGGTAGACACGTAGTTTAAGAAAACTACAAGTGGGTCTATTTAACACATTTGTTATTATATAAAAAAAAAATTCTTTTTTATTTTTATATTGCAAGAAAACAACAGGTGGGGTGGGAGTGAGGTAGGTGAGGAGAGAGAAAATGTGGAAAAATATTTTTTTATTAGTGGTCCCATACCATATTTAGTAACGTGTCAACTATTGTGGGACGGACGAAAATGGGAACTGTGTCAAGTATTATGGGACGGAGGGAGTATTTAATTTCCAAAGGATTGTTACACTGCAGTATTTTATATACGAAGTACTTTTTTCGGGTTTTTCACCATATACCCCTGAGTTTTTTGTTTATTCATCATATACCCTTGAAATTTTTCAAATTCACCATATACCCCTCAGTTATTACAAAAATTCACTATGTACTCCTAATGACAACAAGATGAGTGAAATTTGGTTAATTATGCATTGAAACCACTTTAGATCTCTCCCCTCATCCCCGAAACCACTCATCTCCTTTATCCAACCCCTGAAACCACTCCAAATCTCCATAATCATATCTGTATGATTTATTTTGAGGATGAGAAAAAGGAAATTTGGGGTGGTTTTAGGAGTGGGAAAAAGGAATATGGGTGGTTTCGGAGGTAGGAGAATGTATTTAGGGTGGTTTCGGGTCATAATTAACCCTAATGACTTATGATAACAATCATTAGCCATCAAGGGTATATGATGTATTTTTGTGAAAACTCGGGAGTATATGATGAATTTAAAAAATTTAAGGGGTATTTGGTGAATAAATAAATTTCAAGGGTATATGGTGAAAAAACTTTTTTTTTCTTTTTTTTTAGAATTACTTCGTATGATGTTTCATAGTTTTAGATTACGGGCCATTTTGTGCACTTCCCTAAGAGCTACAACCTTATCTTGGTGGCTAGAAGTTTACTAGAAGTTAAATGTAACTAACTTCATGTTATGATTCGTGTAAAGTTATTAAAGATCAATCAACCATTCAATTGTATTCGACTAGTGTTTAATTGTGAAAGTTGACAAGACGAAGAAGATTCCAAGCTTAAGCCTATCCGAGTATAATATTTTAGTTCCAACTTATCTTAAAATAAATCTTAATTTAAATTGTCACTCTTTTATGTAATAATTAACATTT